TTTAGAGAATTTTGATGCATAAATAGTCATCTTCTTGGGAGGTTTTAAGTCTTTGTCAAGATGATTTTTTTTTCCCCCTAATTTAGTTTTGTTTGTGTTTTGATAAGGGTGCTTGGAAGGGAAGGAAAAAAAAAATCAGATGAACCCTGACTTTATGCCCATATCTTCACTAATAATGAACAATTCTCTTTTATGCAATAAAGTTTCTGTCCTGTATCTTGTCATCCTTGAAAAGGATTGCCAGGATGATCAAGGAGATGGATAGCCTGCTTTATGAGAGTGCGTGAAAACAGCTTTTGTTTTGTGAGACTAAATAAACTAAGGAAAGGACTCAATGGCCTTTGTAGTGTGCTGTGCTGCAGGTGCGTTTACTGCAGGAGAGTTAGGCGACAGAAGAGTAGAGGGGAATAAACTAATTGAGAGCATGTGATAATGGAGCAAGTAAACAGGGCTGGAAACCTGTCATTCCGAAATGAAAGCAGGAGCCTACAACAGTGTCTGTTACCATGAAAAGCATGAGGTTCTTGAATAACCTCCCGGTAGGAACAGTGGTGGAAAAGCTAATTAATTTTCAAGTGGAGTTGTATTTTTCAAGAGATAGTGAATAAAATGATGTAATATGGCTGATTGAGAGAGCCAGAAACTAAGACTATCAGCCAGGAAATCCCTTTAAACCTTGTGTTCTTGCTAAGTTGGTGAAAGCTGCTGCGGTTTCTTTTTTTCAAAGCACATAAAAAGTGACTTTGCAAATGTAGGTTTGCTCAATGCTTAATTTTCATTAGTTGGTTTTTAAGACTCTTGTAGTTTTATCTTCTTTTACAGAGATCTCACAAGTGGAGATGTGTAGTTTGGGTCACCATTTGATTAGAAGGTTTAGTGTGGCCAATGGATGTAGTAGGAGCTGACGCTGATGGCTGAAAATGATACCTTGAGGAAGCATTAAACTAAGAGCCCAGCGTGACTGCCAGATGGCAGTGAGGATCTATCACTGGGGAGACATAAAATTATGTTACTTTTATTAAATGAGGTATTGATTCTGGCCACATTTTATTAGTTAATAGTTAATGCACTCTGTTTATTGTGTTTGCAGTTGCATGTGTAATTCCATTTCATTTTATACCATTGGAAGGGTTTCAGCGCACTTTAGATATGGCCATGCCTCGGTTATGTACTTTGTTTTCGTCAAGAATGGTGGTGTGAGCCTGAGGCGATAACTGTATGAAAAAGACTTTGAAGTTTTCAGAGGAAAATGAATCTAAAGGTCCCCTTTAAGTGTTTATAATAGAAATGATCAGGAAGTCCTTTCTTCAGCTTGGATTACTATTTTAAAGCCAACGTTTCAAAATGTGTGTGCCCGGTAGAGAGGATAGTCTCTTAACTCTTTCATCTGAAGGATGTAATTTGAGTCTTTCTTCTGAGAGCGCTGCAATGCACATAGAAGTGATTTGGAGCTGAAAGTGTTTTTTCTGGTGTGTGAATCAGGTCTTATTGCTAACATCCTTATATACACAAGGAAGGAAACTATTGTCATTTGGAAAAGAGTTAAAAATAGTGAAAGATAAATTTGTTTTCGGCTTTACACAGATCGCATACTTTGTAATAAAATACGAGTTTCAGCATATTTCAGCAACTTAGAAAGATTATACTTTATATTCAGCTTGCATGAATGCAGTTGACTAAATAAGATGTCAAGCGGTAGAAAGACTTCAAACGTGTTCGTTACACTTATGCATACAGGAGAGCATTTGAACCATTTAGTAATTTACTACAGTTGCAAAAAAAGTCAGGGAAACTGTGGCTGTTGCATGATGTTTCTAGGACATGACTGGATGTTTCTCCTGTATCACTTGGTTTAATCGAGGTGGGTATTGCAAGCGGAAGAAGAACGTTCTGAATGAAATTCTGTGTACAGAACAAACCTAGTGCAGTTTTTTTGAAGTTGCAGTGCTGCAAAATTAGAAAGTAAGTTAGGTAGGTTATTCTGTATAAGGTAATTTTCCCTTCCTTACTTTAATACTTGGCTTTTTTTTGATCTTTTTGGCATTGGTGTTTGCTCCCTCAGCTTTGTGGTGTCTGCCTTTTTAATAACTCTGAATCATGCTTGCTGTTCAACTATTCAGGTCTTTGAAAGGCACACTCTCAAGTGTTTTATCAACAGAGCAGTGTTGTTATGTACCTGCTTTGGTTTGTTGTCCTCATTTTAGCCAGATAGCCTTGAATACAATGCCTCCCCTATTCAATGCTGATTAAAATTGCTGTTTCTTGTTGAAGTTTGGATTTTCTGCTTCATGTTTCCCTCTTCAGACTATTGATGTGTATTTAACAGGAACAAGATTAGTCTTAACACCAAATCCTGTAGTGATGTACATCAGATCAAAGCTTTGAAACAGCAAATGAATGCATATGATTTTGTACCTAATTAAAACAATGAGCTTTTCATGCTGCTTTGCAATGAAAATTTAACCTGTGAGCTGTTGTATCAATTTAGTTTCATTATGGCAATGTATTCACTATGCTAGCATAGAAGTTGAGTCAGTATTTCCATTGTAAGTCTATTTTCCAACTGTAAAATTAGTATTGTACCCTTTAGGGGGTTATAATCTGGCTGTAAAAATTCACTTGGGGCTGAAACTTGGAGCATAAGGTTTCGACAACATGTATCTTAGGGAAAAAAGTGTAATTTTGGAATACAAAGCATTTGAAGATGTATGAGAGTTCTGAGGGTAGAGAAGAATGTTCACTTAAATACACAGTTTTATTTCCAACCCAATTTCCAAAATGTTATTTTAAAAATATCCCCAACAAACAGCATAGAAAATACAATTCTGGCATTGATGCTTCCTATAGACCGGTTCAGAAGGGATGGGGCGGGGGAATCAAATACTTTTCAGTTGTGTATGAATTTTTCTTCAGGCAAAGTTTGGTCAGCTCAGAAGGACCTATTTCTTTCTACGTTTCTAGTTAAGATGCATATTGAAGCATGACACTAAGACGCAACAGGGTATAGTTGATAAAAGATTTTAATCATGAGGAGCTGAAAATATCTTCAGATACTCAGGCATAAAACATCAGCTTGTCTCACAACCTTTTATGTAAGGAGGTATTAGAGGACATCACTTCTGCTGTAGTCATCTTTCCTTGTGTGGTTGTGGGGTTTTTTTAGTTTACTTGTTTTTTATTTTTGTTTTTTTGGTATGATATTTTGTTGTGAACAGGAAATTGTAATTAGAATTTAGAAATATTTTTAAACTGAACCTGTCATGTAGATAAGGAGATAAAGTCAACCCTTTGGTTCCTCACTGGGCCATGGAATTAAGGTGTTATTTGAACAATAATTTCAATAATACAGGCAATAGTAATTGTTTCTTAACTTGCATAGGTACTTCTGTTAACTTATATACTAATTTTTAACATGGGTTTGTAAGGTAGAGAAAAAGGTTTGGAAATAAGCCATGTCTTTTGCTCATTAGAAACTTGAATTAAAAATTGCATGAGAATATTTGAATGTTTTGACTATCAGTGACTTGCAACAAACTTGCAACATCACCACCTCAGGCAGCTAGAACTGTCCCTCTGTAGCATGTGTTTGACAGACAGGTAATGGTAGGTCCTTCTAGACTGTAGAAGCTTACAAGGTGGACGGATTGAGAATAGCTGGTTTGCTTAGCACGTTTCTGAGGTACAGCTTAGCTTAGAACATACATCTACAGTATTTCCATCTGGTGTCTCATCTTTTAGTAGGAACGGACAATCATTGACATGGCAGAGAGCCACACTTTTTCTGAGCTATCTGTTATGATCTTCCATTTCCCCAAAACCAGGTTCTCCATCCCTTCACCCTCTTAACACACATCTCACCTCTATAAATGTGCCTTTGCCTTCTCTCTTCCCCTAGAGATGCTAGCCCAGCATTGTCTTTATTCCTGCAGGTGCTGCAGAGTATGCAGTGAAGCAGATAGGTGAACTAGGTGTAACTGCAGGATACAGAACGATGGTCTTTATTTGTTATTGTCTGAGATTAACTTCTTCCATGTCCTGTGCAAATGTGCAGCTCCTTCATCAGAGGAATGTCTGGACAGCTGGCAGTTCTGCTTCATCTGCTCAAGAGCCTCAAGTGGTTCACATAATCTGATTTGTTCAGCCTTACTCAAAGTCACAGATAAAACTTACACGGATAAAACTCTCTAATTTCCAAACTCGGGAATAGTGTGTGGCATAGGTGAATTTTAATTGCTTTCAGAGGCCAAATTTATGCCTTCTGTTTCCAAAAAAAAAAAAAAATCAATTTTTTCCTTGAGTTCTTGCAAATAATGACTTATTAAGCCTTGTCATGCTACATCACCATGGTGGTAAGCTTTACTTCAGTGTCTTGAACCTCAAACTCAACAGATGTTTCCTGCGTGTGTGCGTTAAATTATCTATTCTTGCTCTTTATGTTCTATGTGAATTAGTGATTTGTTAGGCTATGTTTTAAGGGTCTGCTGCATGGAAATTTTTTGAGCTTCTCTTGCTGTTTACATCCACACTATTCTCTGGTATACTTCATGACCGACCCCAGTCGTATTGCTTAGTGACAGTATACGTGCTCTTTAATTGCAACAGCCCTTGCAGCAAACATCTCCTGCCCATAAAGAAAATCAGCAGTTCAGAGCTGTGTTGGCAGCTCCCCCTAAGGAAAGTGTGTGACATGGGCAGGCAGCCCATATCCCAGTAATTTCATACTGTAAAGTTTTCTAAGCCATGAAGACTTACATTAATGCTTTTACTTTACTGCATTTTAACATGTATTTTATTGTAATTCAATTTCCTTTACCTTTTTCATTCTCTTATAGATGGGGAGCAAACCCAGAGAGGTGAATTACCTTCATTAAGGTCACAGAGGCTGTCATTGGGAGAGACAGGAATGCAACTAATGTTCCTTTAGAAACAAACCAACAAACAAAAAATCCTCAAGACTGCCATGTTAATATTTATAATGCTCTGTGTATTTCTCTTTACAGGTGACTGTTACAACTATTGGCTATGGGGATAAAGTGCCTCAGACCTGGATAGGAAAGACTATTGCATCGTGTTTTTCAGTGTTTGCAATTTCATTTTTTGCACTACCTGCGGTAGGTTGTTTTGTACTTCTGCTGGCAATGTGGTGTTGACTTTTTAAAGGTCAGAGGAATCTTTTGTTATTGATTCTGTAAGCTTTCACTGAATCTGATATTACGAAAGTTTCATATTCAACTTCTGTGTTGTCAAATGTAGCTTAAAAAAAAAAATTAAACATTCAGTGTTTTTTGTATGAGACACTACATTTGGTATGCATTTAAAAAAAGGGATGTTTCAGCCTGAAAAATGAATGTTTAATTCAAAACGCTTTTTCAGCCACCCGAGAAGTATAAAGGAGTATTTCCATGCTAACTGCCTCTCGGCTCACTGACTTAGTGATGTTTTGGCTTGTTAAGCAACTGCTCGTAGGTTACTCAACCAGTTACGTCCAGGGTGAGCTGTGGAGTTCTCACATGCATCCTTCTGGCAAAGATGCAGAAAAGGTGTCGCTGGCAGAGAGGCAGCAGTAAGTGGCCAGAGACAGTGGTACTGGCAACTGATAGAGCTGTTTGCCAAACAAATGTCTGTCTGTGGCCAAAGTCTCACTTCCCACAGTGACTGAGCTTTTGAAGGTGTTTTGGCTCGTAGCTAGTACTGAAAACAGGTGCCCAACTACTTTCTAACAATAAATGAGACGCTTGGGTACTAAGGGTAAATTAAAAATAAGTGAAAACTGGACAGTGGTTTGAAGATCCAAAACTTTCAGTAGCAAGCACAGTTAATAGTACTGTTGTTACAACTTCAGCAGCGCTCCTGAATTGTACTATTCAAGTGTTTGTGCAGTCAGGTGTGAACTGGATGAGAAAATTGGGTTCTGGATCGAATACCCCCCCTACACACCAACATCTTTGCAAGTTTGGCAATTTAGTGATACAAGCAGTTGTGTTAACTTGGCGGAGTTGTGGTGCGGAAGGCGGGGGGATAAGTACAGGAGGGATGGGAATAATACTCTTTTATGCCGGTATGGCCACAAAAATTCTTCATAATATGAAATAATATCTGTTAAAACTCCAGAGGCTTTTTAAAATTAGCCATTTAGTTTAAAGGTATGCAACTTTTTGCACGGAAGAATAAGTAAGTCTAGATTTTTAGACTCTCCAGCATCAATTTGCCTTTAAAAGTATATTCTTTTCCCCTCTCCCCATCCTAATCTCCTTCACATTGATTTCTTGCTTGGAAGTGATGCCTGGCAAATGAAATGATCTGTAATAAAAATATGAAAAGCTACTGCTTTGACTAGATACTTATATTTTTCTTACTTGAATGCCTCCAAAAATGTTTCATAAACAATTATATAGTAGTTCTACCTTCAGAGCAGTGCTTTTATGATTACCTGCCAAATTTCCTAGTTGTTTATAGAAGTAAAATAGCAACCCTCTTCTTTATCAGGAGGGGAACGAAAAAGCTACTTTTTTTACCAAATGTAATTACTAAATTTAAATGTATTACTAAAACCTTTGTTAAATATGTCTGTAGATATATGAATGACTAAATAAGTGACTTGCGCCATACTTGATTTTAGAATTAATGATTTTACTACATTTGGAGGCTGCTTCAGGTTGTCCATGCCTCTGTCCTCAGATGGATTAATGGCCTTGGCCTTGTGCTGAATTCATTGATGTCCTGCCTATATTGTAGTACTCCTTTTCCTCTTTCTTCTCTTCCTATCCCCCCATGGGTTAACACTATAGAAACTGCTATACTACAGTTAAAAAGGCTTTCTTATGATCTAAACTGTGCCATGCCAAAGCTTTATTTCTCATGAAAATGAGGTTAAGCACACCAGATTAATCTCTTTCTCCCTATTCTGTCATTCCCCTGCACAGGCATTTATGAGGCTTTTAGAGGGTATGAAATATAATTTCTGCCTGCTCTTTAGTGTTTGAGCCCAGCTGACTTTATCGTGGCCTGATCCAAAGCCTATTTTTGTTCATGTTTTATGTTTCAGCAAGTAAGACTGAGTCTGAAAACTTAACAGCATTAAGTCATTTCCTCTAAATAATTAGCTGGGTTGTTTTATGATGCTGAAAAGGAGTTTATTAATATGAAATACTTTGGCAAGTTTATGCATGCTCTCCATCCCTTAAAAATTAAATTTATGTTTTCTTTCTTCCCACAGGGAATTCTTGGTTCAGGCTTTGCCCTGAAAGTACAACAGAAACAAAGACAGAAGCACTTCAACCGTCAAATTCCAGCTGCTGCCTCTCTCATACAGGTAGCAAGTTCGTGCATTTTACCTGCTATCATTTCTCTCCGTTTATAACAGTTTTCAAAGTTGTTTACGGTACTTCCACGCCTGATTCCCTTCAAAAATTGTGTAGGAGTTACAGATACAAGTCTCTTAAACAGTTTTAGAAATCCTACCTTGAATGTAAATTAATGGGCAGAAAAGTTCACTGTCAAATCAGTGCAACTATTTAATTCAGCTGGTTGAAAAACATAGCTGAAGAATAGCTTGTGATTATTGAGCAATTTAACTGGAGGATATGTTGTAAAATACTGTGCTTACAATAATGAAAAACAGAAAAGAAGGTGCCTATAAAAATGTGCTTTTAAAAATCCACTGTTCCTAGTAAAGACAAATATCAGATATGCTGTATTTTTCTTGGGACAAATGGATTTTTTAAATGTTTCAGTTTCAGGAGAAGTCAGAGCCTTAAAAAGGAAAAATCTAGTTTGAACTTCCTGAGCTTTCAGCTCCAGGGTAGGTGGCTGGCAAACACTGTGATTCTGCAAAACCAGTCTCCTCTTGTAGAATAATACATAATCAGAAGATTTTTGATCACCTCTGTGAAAAGATATGGTTGCAGTTCTGGTGTCAGTGAGGTCAACAAGACATTATACTTGACTTTGGAGCTAACATTTCACTCTGGAGAAGTATTAATATTGTTTCATTGCAGATTTTTTCCAGTTTTTCTTCCCTTACTGAGTATGTATTTGTAGCTTTAGAAGCACAGGATCAAATTAAAAAAGAAATCTAGATGTTTCAACTAAGCCATATCAGTTCTGCGTTCTCATATGACTTATTTCTCTAGCTTCATGAGTGAATGTGGATTTCCAGGTCAGACTCTTTATGGAAACAGTAGCTAACTGTAAAGTTTATGCTTGAAACTAAACAGTCCCAGAGTTAATGTGAAAAAGGTTTTAAGTTTAGAGGTCTGGTTATAGCCAAAGATTAGCCAAAAATCTTCAGACTCAATGTGTTGCTTTTGGATTGCATGGTCAGAAAAAGGTATGGTTTTGCAAAGAATGGATTTTCGGTTTTCCCACTGATTCTTTTGGGAAATCAATCCCAAATTATTGGGAAGCCTGAAACTGCCCATCTAGAATGTTGTACTTGGCTCCATCTGAAATACTAAGAATGAATGGGGGATAGTCTGTAACTTACTGTCTGTCTGTTATTACTAGTTATAATTACTGATTGTTAGTAGTCTTGGAGCTCTGGAGTCCTATTTGAATAAGTACACTAGACATAACTTACAAAAGAATGGTTCTTAAACCAAGAAATTTATTAAATAAGTACAAGGGAAGGCATCATCTGAAATCAGTGATAGTTTTTTCCCCTGTATTCCTCTCTTGCTTTATTCTAGAGGCCAGTGTGTCTTCCATTATCCTATTAATCATGATGGGAATTATATGGTGATTGAGCCTTTACTTTCCAACTTCTCTTTTCTTCCATCATTCTGCCTTGCTTTATTTCTTCCCTGTCATATTTTCGAGCCTTTCCCACTTCAGATTTTGTGTATACATATGCATGTCCCTTTTCTCCTGTTGTAAGTAAGGATCTACCATTTTAATTTGGAGACTAATTATTAACTACTTCTAATGATGTATTTAGACTTCTAAGGGGGTGTGCAGTCATGTTTTGTCTATGTTTGGTCTTGTTTCCTAGTCCTGTTTTTCTTCCTTTTTATCTTTGAACATAGCACTTTAATCACTGGTGGCTGGGATTTTTTATTTGGTTTTGGGGTTTGGCTCCTGGTTAACCATTGGTGGTGTTCCATTATGCTGTTTGTCTTATTTCTCTTGTACGAATATAGCCCTACTAGCTACAACACAAAGTATGTCACAATTGTTTTTTTTTGACAGTGCTCTTGTGAGGTAGGGAGGAACTACTTCTGTTTTTCAAGTAGGGTCCTGAAACAGAGATGCAATAGGCAAAATACCCAAAGTCAGAAGGGGAACCTGGAGCAGAGCAAGAAATTCAACCCCAGTCTTTTGAGTCCAGTCTAGAATGCTGCCTGTTAAAAAGTGCTTTCTCTTATATCCCAAGACCTGCTAATCCAATCAAAAGATGCACTTGAAAAGATTGGTCTTCCCTTTTGGGTGCATATCAACCCAGCTTAAACTAGGCAATTTGAGTCTGAGTTTACTAAATAAGGATTTTAAACAATGCAAAGTTAATGTGAGGGAAATCCATGAACACTATTAAAGCAAGATTTTCTAATGTGCTGACTTGAAAGTTACTCTGATGTATGGATAGCAACAAACAGGATTGTATTAATTGTTCTGTTACTAACAACTTTTATTCTAGACTGCTTGGAGATGCTATGCAGCAGAAAATCCAGACTCTTCTACATGGAGAATATATATTCGAAAACCTGCTAGGAATTATCATTTACTATCACCGAGTCCAAAACCGAAGAAATCAGTGATGGTATCAGTAACCAATGTTTCCTATTATAGTAATTTCATATAATCATTTTTTAAATTAGATTGAATTTGTTCACTCTCTAGAGGCTATTTGTTGTATTTGTTTTACAGAGGTTTGTTGTAGAGGCTCAGTTTCATTGTTTTATTTTCAAATGAGTTTTGGGATTTTGAGTACAGAAACATTTCAAGCTGTAACTTCAGATCCTAGGCTTCTGGGGGGTGTGTGTGTGTTGTTTTTTTTTTTTAATGGTTGTACTGGCTAACTCAGGCACATCCATCAGTAACTTACTGTTATTGTCCGGAAAGCTAGAAGCAAAGGAAAAAAAAAAAAAGGAAAATAAATATTTTCAAACAATTACTCTTAATTGGTAAACAAACAAACAAACAAAAACCCTGCTGCTTCTCTCAGCTATTAATTTCGTGGCTTTCTGAACTCCAATGGTGAAGATATCTTGTGTCTGTATACAGTAGTATTTCATATTAACTGATTTCATAACTTCAGAATTTTTTCGAGGGTGGGGGAAGAACCTTTGCCAGAATCTTTAGATGATGTAATACCTTCTCCTCGCTATGGTAATGATATTGTACAGTAGCCTCCCTTAGGAAAGAGAAGATGCTGGGCAAGAATCTCCCCTAGTATCAGATTCATCTGAATTCAATAGCACTGTATCCATTTACGTGTGTTGCACTCTATCTGTTTATATGTGCTAAAGATATAGTTCATTGTGTCCATGAAACGGTGAGGATATTCTATTGCTGCAGAATGAGCAGTTCGGTTTTTTTATTTTATTTTATTTTATTTTACTGCAGGCAAGAGATTTGCTAATGATGATGTGTGGAATTCTAAAGATTAGCCAATTTGAAGGGCAGGAGGGGGGAATCTTAATGACAAACACACAGTGCAGCATTGTATTGCAAATACAGTTGGTCAGGCATTCCTTTATCTGGTTATAGCTCATGGGAGACTTTATTATTTTTAGAAACATTACTGAAGAGACAATTAAATGTGGTTTGTTTCAAATAATTTAATGTATTTATATTTTTAGGTTAAAAAGAAGAAATTTAAGTTAGAGAAGGACAATGGACCTTCTTCTCCAGATAAGGCGTTAACTGTTCCACACATTACTTATGACCATGTGACAGATGACAGGAAACCTGATTTCAGTATTGAAGTATATGAAAACTCTGGTAAGATATTCCGTTATAACATGCCAGGAAGTGTGATGGCCTCTATTAGTTATTTATACACAGGTCCTCTTTAATGTGTGTAGGAGAAAGGATAAGGACAACACTAGCTCTTGGACATATTTCTAAAGCAAGAATACTTCACTTTCTGGCATTCTCTGGGTTGCTGGCTTCTCTGGGTGAGATTCAACTGTTCCCTTAATGAATGTGTTCCTCTGCAGACAAACTAAGATTATTTGTAATTTCTACCTGCCAGAACAGCTACTGTCTCTGAGTTTGGTGTATGCTTTCTCCAATTCTTTAACTGATTGAAGTTACTGGGATCAGCTGTCAGCTTTTCTAGGTGAAATGTATTCAAGCCCCGTTCATATTCTACTTGTACCTCAACCAAAAAGGATCGATAACTTGACTGCTCCGGAGACAGTCTGCTCTATGAAACCATTATGTGCTCCAGCCATCTGCTCCGTGGAGTTGTCTGTGATGAATCAAATTTTGAAAGCAGAATTACTTAAGATAAATGTGGATCATCTGTATTAACTGTCACTGTACAGAAGGATGCAGTACAAGGAAAAAGAAAGGACCCTATTTGATAACCACCTTATAAGTAATAGCTTACTTAATTGTAATATGAGCTGCTGAAATAACTCTGAATTTACAAGGTAGCTTTTTTTTTTTTTTTTAAACAAAAAAGTAGAATTTATAAGTTGATAATTGTATGCTCAAGTTTTGACAGCGAGATTAAGATTTAATTTTTAAAGGTATGTTTTATAGTTCATACTTACCTTAAGCACTTCAGTTTTTTTCTCCTCAGAAAGTTGGCTGACTTGATTAAATTTAATGGCCATTAAAATGAGGGATTGCAAAGTTGGTCGGCACCAGGTATATTTTGATTCAGGCAGAAACTCTCACCTTCCATATAATTTTTGGTATGCTTCTGTCTTGTTCTTAACATCCATGCTTTTCCACTCTTTCTTGGCCTGTGTTGAGGAATGATCGCAACTTAGAGCTTGTGGTAGAAGTGTCATAGTTCTTAGAAGGTGGACACTAAGTTTACTCTCTGTATGAGCCTTTGAGCGCAAATATATTTCTTCAGAACGATCCAGTGACTGAGCTGTTCAAATGGTTAGATTTGCAAAGTCCTATCTTTATATTACTAAATTTCGACGTAGATTAAAGGACGATATGATTTGCAGGCAGTCTACTGCTGTCACTTCAAAAATCAGTTCTCTAGCTTTCAATGAAAAGATTTTTTCTCTAATTTCTTCTGACACTTTTTTTTTTTCTTCTTTTCATCTGTGTTCTGCTCTCTCTAAACTGTTACAAGTATACAGGACAAACAGGAATGTTAAAATTGCTTGGTAAGTTGAGGAAAATAACTTTATCTACAGCATGCCAGCTTATGACAATGTAACATTGTTTGCAGTGCTTTTCATGTGTGTCTAGCTACATATAGTTTTTAAGAAATCTTGCAGCCAAGGAGATCTTGACATACAAAAATATACATTCTCACGCTTGTAATCGTAACAGTAATCGCAACAGTCTTGCACCCACAGTTTAGTTACAAAGACAGGAGAGTGAGTACTCATAAAGTATTTGATTATAAGTAGATGTTCGCTGTCAATTGAGGAAAATTTGCTAATCTATACATAACCAATATAAAAAGATAATATAAATTGAGCTACATACTCAAATAACTAAGAATTAATTTTTAAACAAATAGTTGGGATGGGAGGAAAAACTTCCAGATATGACCTCCAGAAACGGGCGTTTTGAACTACGTACATCTGTTGCTGTAAAAGTACTCTGTAGATATTTGTGAACAAATAGGGACCCATAAATTAAATAATATATTTTATTATTTGTCTGGATTCTGTAATCACAGATCAGAGCCATGCAGTGCTGAGATGTTTCTAATGTGCTTGTTTAGGCGCTTTCTTAATAACTGTTTCCCCAAGACTGTAGGAGTAGAGCTAGCTCTGGGCAAAAATAACTGATTTAGTGAGAGTGCTGTGAGCCACCTCTAAGATGTCTGCTTTGCATCCGCTGAAGACAATAGAAGTTCCCCTTCAGTAATAAAGTGCAAGGGTGCTCAGACTTGGATTAAATTGTTGGAAAATATAAGGTTGAATTTCTCCATTGAACCCACTTGGAGCATAGGTGCAATTAAGATGGCAAAATAACAGAGCGGTCAATCTGCTTGACTCCCTCAGCCAGTCCTTGGTTTTCCCGGTCCCTGGTTTCCAGTTTTCTCTTATACCCAAAGTGAGGCATCTCTAATGGAGTTAAACATGGTGGAACAAATTCAGGATGGCAGTGAGTGCCATGAAGTCACCACTGCCTGTTTTACATCAACAAGAAATTCCTTCATCTTGGGGAAACATCAGAGTAGCTTTGCCAGCCAGCCTAGGTTCAGTCTCTATTTTTCGTCAGGCAGAGTGAACTCAATAGACCTGCGAGTTCACCTCGTGCTGTCCTCATAGAGACTCAAAGAAATAAAGCGGGAAAGGTGTGTATTTGCACCTACCATGAATAAGATTACATAGGCAGAAACCTAAAGCTGCCAAATCAAAAGCTCAGGAACAAGACATTAGGAAACGTAAGGATGAAGGATGCCCGTTCAGCTTTAATTTGGTCTTCACAGAGTCTTTAGTCACATGGCCGTGTACTGCTTTCTCCTATTCAGCAAGCTCCAGTCCTCTGTTTGGACTCCCCACGCAAAGTCAAGTATTCACGCTCCTGAATTCCCCATCTGATTTCCTTGCCAGTATCCTTGTATAACTAGAGTCTTCCACCTCCCTTTCTGCCCTCCTCCTTTCTCCTGGCTCCTTCTCTGATGTCATTCCCTTCCCTCAATTATAATTCAAATATGTTTATATTTTGAGTTTTTGTCTTGGCATAAAGGTAGGGCAACACTTTTGGAAAGTATCACTCGCTCTCAGTGTATGAAGCCACAGTCACTTCTCAATGAAAAAATTATTAGAAGAGGAGCACAATTTAAAAATATTAAATATAGCAAAATTATCGTTTTTTGCTGAGTCTTTTTCTCAGCATTGACCGCTCCTGTTTGCGTGAAACTTTCTCCCAAGAAATTCAATTTGAGGTAGATTTGGCCTAAATGATCAGCTTAGCAGTTTTAAGTGTTTTTTATGGAACGAGTCAGCATCCTCAATTATTGGTGGCACTATTGGTCAGAAGTAACACTGAACTGCATGAACCAGACTGAGAAGGGTCCATATGAGGTTGCATACTTTAGAAAGGAGAACACTTGAGGGAATCAAAGTCAAGACAGAGGAGGCAGATGTTTTAATTACTTTCCTCAAGATAGAACTGGCATGAGTGTCTTGCAACAGATGATGCACACATGCACTGTATGAAGAAGGGGTTTGAAGAGGCACAATGCCTCCCCTGGTGGTGATTTAAAATATTCTGCTTATATTTAATACCTACTGGAAGAGTTCCATAGAAACTGTTTTCCCAAGTATTTTTTATTTTGTTTTTAAAGATGTCAAGTACAGCACTCTGAAGTTTAGATATTTCTGCATCTCCTTAGCTGTTTCTCTACAGCTCTCTTTCCAACACACCCCCCCCCATCTCTCTGTTTTATGTGCATCTTTATTCTGGCTCAGATTGTCAGCGCTCCTGGCCATCCTTTTCTGCAGACCCGCAGTCCTCCAGCGCTCCTCCCTCACCAGGTAAAGCTCGTAATATTTCATTGCTCCATCAACTTTGTTAATTACTACATCTTTGCAGTGCTCTGTTTAATTTCCTGTCTCACAGCAGGCAACTCCAGAGTGATGATTCCTAGTGAGAACACAGGCATTTTAGTAGAATTTTGGGTTTGGTAATTTTTTCTGTTTGTAAGTTGCAAACATTTAAATAGAAATTTTCTGCAGAAAACAGGAATTTTTCTAAATGTGTTAATTAAAACTCAAGTTTCCCTGGAAAAACACTTTAAAATGGAAACTTTTTGACACTCCTTGTAGAAGAGAAAGTGTAAAATATTTTCTGTCTATCTTAGTAGCCAAAGACCCCACTACTGGTAAAGAATCTGCATACATGTTGTGTTGTATGTAAAATTGTTATGTTAGTTATGTAGAAGACTCATCAATATTTTCTTGTTATTGTGATTATAATCTTTGTTTGAAAGTTATGAATCTGTTTTCAAGTAGGGTTTGTCATCTTGTGGGAAGTGTATTCTCTGACAATTCAAAGTAGTTCTTGGCCCAGCGTTATGAGCTGGGTAGTAATATGTGCTACCAGAGCTGCTACTGCTTCTCATCCAAAAAGGAGAAAATAAAGTGTGGGGACCCCTGACTTATAGTGTATATCCCTTGCTGCATCTGTTTCCTCTCTCTCGTTATTATCCACTGAATGAAAATTAGTTTCTAAAGCTTCTCTTTTTTTTAACCATACCTATTTAGAAACTTACTGCTTTCAAACAGGCTTACATATTTTGAACTTTTTTTTAACATATTTACAATAGTTTGTGAGAAACAGTTCCAAAAGTCACATGGCTATGACTTTATTTTTATATCATTTATATTAGACATATAGGAAGTGGAATATGAACAGAGAAAAGATACTGATAGCTGGCCTTTATCCCTGAGTTAGAGCACCTTTATCTCTTGTGTGAGCCCCCTCTTCTTTCTTTATGTCTGTGTATCGGTAGAGTGGCAAAGGTGCAGCATATGTTGCCAGCTTCAGTTTATTGTCTTCTGCTTCACCGTTTTTCCGAGTTCTTTGCAGTGACTGTTTAAAAATGAGGGAAAAAATGCTGATGTTTTATTGGTTTAAAAATCTTTTGTTCAGCTTTGGGGAAATTTTCCACGTTCAATCCTTGAGGTAGTCTTTTACTCAGTTGTTGGAAACTTAACTTTTGACAAGCTATAGACCTGATTAAATAATGAACTGCCTAATCCCACTTGTGAAATGCAGTCCCTGATAGCGAGCAGTATATTTTTTCCAGCTTGGATGTGTGAGGGAGTTTGTAATTCCTGGAGTCAGTCTTCTCCCTGGACTTTCTACTCCCCCAGTGAGGAAGCAAGCAGCGATAAGCCTATACCCAGGGAGCATATGCTCCCTGGAGCTCTGCTCCAGCTGTGCTTCAAGACGCTTTGTGGCAGGGAACCTCTCATTAACGGCATATGCTTTCCCTGGCCTCCCCTCTCTCTCTATAACAAGCAGGCTGCATAATAGTACTTTGAAGCGCTTCTTCCTTTATGGGGGAAGTGGCAGCTTAGGTATAAGACTGAGTGCGAAGAGCAGAGGGCTGCATTGGTCACCAGAACGATCTTAAAGCATTTTGAATTAAAAAGAGGGAGGTAGGTGCAATACTTGCCTCATGATAAGCAGCTCTTCATCTCAGTGTTCTCAGGTAACCTCAGTGGTTCAAATAGGATGAGGTACAACCTAGACGTCTTGTTCCTTTTTCATTCTGCCATTCATCTCCCCACTTCCACAGTAAACATAAAAGCAATAACTGTAATGATCCAAAAACAGCTTTTTCTGCAAATCCTGTGTATCATATCTCATACAAGCATAATTTAGTGAGTGTTCAGCAAACACTTCATACAGTCTTAAGTTCAGTAGTATTATCACTTGTTATCAGAGCAACATCCTTTCCTAGAAACTGGGAAAATTTTGTTTGTACCTGGTAGAACAGAGAACAGTGAAAATTAGTTTAGTTAAAGCCCAAAAGGGTCCACTTTAAAGTCATCTTGCTATATATGTGAAACTGAAATTATTCTGCTTGCTCCACAACCTCTTTTTTGGCTGGTGGCTGCATCAATGTTAATTAAATAAAATGATACTCGAGCCAAGAAATAGAATGCTGATACTTGCTAAAATTTACTATAGAATTCTTTTTTTCTTAAGTGCTGCAAGTGGCTCCTGTTTTTAGTATAATTCTAAGATATAATTTTATCTCCTGGCAGTTATGGGTTTTTGTTTTGTTCCTCCCCCAGATTCTGTGATTTCGGAGTTCTTGCTCTCTTACTAAAGTTTCTGAAGAGTGGCTTTCTCCATTTTGTTTCTGAATGGCTGTGTGCCTGATGGTATAACAACATTTTCTCTTCTGCCTTACTAAGGCATCTACTTATTGTAGTAAAATTGTTGCATTTTTTAAAGGTTATTTCCTGATAGCCCCAATTCTATTTCCATTAAATTCAGTTACATTTGTAATGTACTTCTGCTTTTTTTTTTTTTTTTTTTAGCCTTCTTGTTGCAGGGCATTATTTACTGTCACAGTGTAAAGTGTTTTATAAAATACGATAGGCTCCATAAATTACAACATAATAATTACTTCATTGAATGATCTAGTAACTTGTTCAGATAAAATTTCTATAAAGTTGTCACAATTGACCTATGGTTGTTACAGAATATTACTTACTGTTTTTTTTCCCTCTCTGTGCAATTCAGTAATAGTCATGTATAAATATAGTAGTGATTTTATGTATAAAGAAATGCTGTGGCTTCTCTGACAAATGTTAGGCTCTCATTGGTAAAAGCACTTGGGATTCTTAATGTTAGAACTGGGTAGAATTTAGAAGCCTGAGTTTAAAAATGAAATCTATAATACCTTGCCTAATTGCTTGGATGCATGAGAGTATTGGTATGCAGGTAATTTTACCACTAAAAACTTCAGATAGTTAAAGTGTTGCAAAATGGTCTCCTCACTGAGGGCATCATTTTGGATGAAATGAACCTTTTGACGCATCTTGTGTCTAGGTTCACAGATCTTTGTGTCTAAGTACCGAGAGAGACTGGGAACCAGTTAACCTGCTCAACTGGAGCCTGGCAGGAGCTGGCTGCTCAACTTAAAATGCTTAAGCTGCTTTGTGGATCTAGACTTGATATGTTTATCTCATTCACCATAATTATGTCCTAGAAAGTGGTTTATAAATAAAACAGAAAATAAAGAAGAATATAGAAGGACTAACCTTGACACTGAATTACGCTCATGCAGCATTGCTGTAGAGCACACAGTGGTCTGTGGTCTGGCTGACTATCATATCATAACTTCTTTATGTATAAAGTTGCCAGTGATATAGATGCACTAAATTCTAGTGCGTGAGGAGTATGAATGAACAAATCAGACAATATCATTTTTACAAAGAAGTTCAAAAAAAAAAATAGCTTTAAGTCTTCAGCAGAAGTTGAAATTCTTCAGGTAGAAGAAGAGTTTTTCTTTCCGTGGACTGAGATGCATGCAAATTTTTGTAGTAACTTTTGTTTGTACATTTTAATGAGATACTGAAATATTTCAGAGATGCAAACAAGCAGGAAACCTTTCTTGAAAAAGCTGAGTGCTATTGCTTTAACCTTTATCTGCATATTTCCTCACAGTGAAAAAAAGCCCAACGTTTTTAGATGTGAACACAGGACCCTTCATCAGGACCAACAGCTTTGCAGATGAGCTTGACCTGGAGGGTGAGACACTGTTGACCCCAATAACTCACATCTCACAGTAAGTCAAGGCTATTGAATAGTGTATTAGTTGACTTAGACAAGAGAAGCCAATTCAGGTGGGAGGAGCTGAAATATGGAGCTGATAGGGTATCTCAGATATTTGCGTCAAATGTTTTTACCTTGAAGTTGGTGTATGCTGTTCTGAGTGCCAGTAAATCTTAATGGTGCCCTAAAGAAAAGTTCACTTAGCTGTGACAGAAGGCTTTAGTTTTTAGCTAATGTCTGTGGGCAGCTGCTGGTTGATAGCCTCAAGATTTTCGCAGGGAGACGATGTGTGGGAGTACTTGCCTGTTGAGAACTATATTACTCCTCCATCATTTTCCAATGAAATGGCTGTAAAGTACATATTTGGAAATAATTACATGAAATACTCGTCTCTCAATTTCAGCAGCACCTTCCCTAACAGACAAGTGAGGATCTGCATTGGAAGAAAAGATCTGTTTTGATCTTTGTTACTGCTTTGTGGTGTAGAAAAATGGTCTGAAATAGCCTTGCATTTTTGTTGTTTTCCTTTCTTTTTAAAAGGAATTTTTCCACATAACTTCTGCGCTAAACTATTACGTCCAGAATTTCAGATTATTCTCAAGGACTCTTTGAACAATGAGGATTTAATTGGACTATGATTTCACTAGGAAAAAGAGCTTGAGAATTGCAAAAAGATTTTTATTTAAATGTCTTAAAAGTTTTCTGTCTTTGTTTAATTCAACTTATTATTTGCTCTAGTGAATGTGTCACGTTATGTGAAGAATTGAGTTCTTTCACCCCTCTAGTAGAGGAATGAGTTTCTTCCCCTACTATTTCTAGAAATCTGGGGATTTCAGCAATGAAACCACAGATGAAAATTCTTGGCATACTTATACTTCTGCAGTACAAAACAAGCAGAAATACCTGCTGCCAACTTTCAGTCCTTCTTCCTATACACTATAAGTAGCAGAGAAAAGCATACATACTTTTAGAAGCGCATTTTAAAAAAATGTAGTTTATTGGGCGTCTCCCCTACCCCGAACAAAAGGACTTGCATTTTCAGCTGAACAACATAAGCATACATATATTTGTAGGCAGAGAATTTACAATACGCTTATGCTGGAAGATTTCTTAGTGGTACAAGTGGGAGGAGGAAGTCATAAATTTCCTCAAGCCTTAGATGGGAATAACTGAGCAACAAAACCAGATCTAGACGTTTCCTTTGCACAGCTTTTTTGACACTTTAATTTACCGCAATGTTGTAGGCTTTCTTTAAGAGCAGGAATCTATGGTGCTAGAAGCTTTCATTATCCTTTTTGGATTTGGGAATGACCTAGTTATTTCATGTTGTCATTTTCATTGATATATTTCAAATAAAAAGCTACGCCACTACTTTTAAGTCACTAATTTGTGTTACATTTGAGATTTTTTTTTCCTGTGAATGCCTTTTGGAGACCTTAGGATAAAGGTAATACACATCAGCTACAAACTGGCTACTTACTGAATTAGCAACCCAATCTTCTAGTAACATACATATTTCCTTTTTACTTCCTTAATTTTGGTCATAACATTTGTTGTAATCTCTAGGTTGTTCTGGATCATGAGTGATGGGATGGTACAAAGCATATTCCCTTATATGAGTTGTTTGAGTCTCCGCTAGAGAGTAAGAAAGTGCAGGTCACATACTGGCTGGGGGGGGGGTCAAGATTCACAGCAGTATTAAATATAAAAATGGATAGCATATTATTTGAATGTGTCCCTTTGAAGCATAGGTGCCAAGAAGTCATAGAGCTGAGGACTGTTCATTAGAAGTGCATTTTACTTTGTATGCAGTTCATGAAAGGCCTGAAACAATGCCAGATAGACCTATAGATGGTAAGGTCTTGCCAAGTGTTAATGAAAAGCCTGCATTTTGTAATGTCAGTTGGTGTGTTGGCATGTTCAGCTAATGGATCTTACCAAGTATTTTGAAATGAAAAAGATGTTAATGTTTAGTTTACTGTTGGGTTGTGCTGTCTGCTTCCATTAGGGGTGGTTGAAAAGGAAGCATGCTGCGTTGCAGCAGGGACGTGTGTTAGTGAATGCCCAAGGCAAGTCAGTTTCCACAGATTGTTAGACACCTGTTGGTCTTTCCATCTTCATTTCAAAGACTTAGGGAACAAATAACTTGTGACACGTTTCAGTAGGACCTGAATGTTGGGCATGTGGGAGTAGAACTAAGCCTCAAATTTAGGACTGAGCAGTGGATATATTTCTGTGTGCAAACCCATCACCACTTAATAATTTTTTATGTAATAAAAGTGGCTAGTCATTTCAGATCTTTGTGTTTTTAATTGTCAGGCGTCAAAGTTATGCTTTACCTGAGAGAGTCCAGGATAATTTTGTTCTGATGTCCCCACTTGTAAAGCATTTTGTTTCCTTCAAGTCCATCGTAAGTGCAATATGATCGTTCTAGATTTGCTGATAAGGAAATAAGCCACCATTATGCAAGTGTTCCCAAGTCCTTAGCAAACATACAGCATATTACAAACAAACATATTAGGTTGTAAAAAATCAAATTAAGTGCAAGCAGGTCAAATTTCAGGTCTTAAAAGCAATCCATAGTCTGTCAGAGAAACAGAAGCACAAAGACAGTTTCAGAAATGGAAGCATAATGTAAAACTCTTGATCTAAGGGTGCTTGGATTTGGAATTAGTAAGACTATTTCTTGGTCAATTCTGTATTTATTGCAACATATGAATTAGTTTATCCAGAAGCCACAGAAAGGTGACTCCAGAATAAACATTGATTTTTTGGAAAGGACTAAATACATGAGTATTACACAGTTAATCGAAGACATGCAACTGGAAAATACCTGGAAAGTGCCTTTTAGTTGACAGTATGAAAAATATTTCCTTCTGACAGGGAGTATAAATCTTCTGGCAAAAGTGTGGGTACCTACTGTATTACTGACAGGCAGGCAGGTGGCATCATTCCTCTTTAAAAAACAAACAAACAAAAAACAACAAAGAATAAGGCCAAGTTTGTTTCCTCACTTACTTTGGATGATGGAAAGAAGATGTAATCTTTCCACCCTTACGATAAAGAGCTTTTAGGCTTCTAGGCCTAAAGACTCCTTTAAATTCCATTACAGTGCCCTGCTTGCATATGCAAAAATTATTCTCTTGGCTTTTTTTATGTAAGTGCATGTTTCCACTGAGTTTAATAGGATTGTTCTTGTCCCTAGAAGTAATGCAGGACTGTATGCAGGACATAGGCCTGACTGTATTTTAAACTTCGTTTGGAAATGAATAACCTAATTAACTTAGACCATTGCTATGGCATTACGTCATGCGGAACGGTTACTGTACCACTTAGTCATTTGTCGCTACTAATGTGAGGAAGCAAAAATACAGAAGCAATTTGAGACCTGATGCTCAAACGAGAAAGTGGTTAAAATACCGCAGAAAAACAGATCCGTGCAAGGATAGTAGTGGAGAGAAGAGTGGCTGCACCTACCCTGCGTGAGAGGTCTCACAGGCAGAACAGGCAGATTGAGGCAGAGCAGTCTGTGTAATTAGCTGTCAGAGCTCCCCTATAAAATGAACTGCAACAGTCATCTGAAGAATGCAGTAAACAGCATATTGTGTGAGATAAGACTTGACTCTTGAGCGATTGTTTAAGTATCTTTGTGGTCTGTTCTGTTGTAAACCGTGAAATGCAAAACGAGTCTGTAGCAATAGCACACCTCCTCTTCGGACTTTTCACTGTTTTCTTTCTCTCTAATCAGCATGTTCCCATATTGTCTTCTGTTCCCTGTTTCACTTCATTGGGTCTTTTGTGCTATTTGCATTTTAAAGCAGCAGAAAATCGATGCTACTTAAAACAGTTGAGCCTTTGTTACCAAGAGGTTCTTTCCATGTCTGTGTTAGTATAATTGTTTAATTTCAGAATCTTTTAAAACTTTGTTTAGCATTAGTTGAAGTAGTAAAAAGAAATGAATCAAGCTTCTGAGCATGCAGCTGGGGGGAGCAGGGGAAGGAGGGAAAAGAAGTAGGTTGAACTGAGCGGATAAAAGGAAGAGGAGAAAATGATGAAGAACTGTTAATCCAATACGTCCTAATATAAGTACTTTTACTTCTTTAAAGAAGTTTAAAGAGAGCTCTGTGTTCTCCCTGAAACTTTCAGAAACTCCAAAGAATCAAAAATAAGCACGACTGTTATTCATTTCTATAGTTTCCCGTTTTCAGTGTTCAGCAGCTTATTAGACAGTGGTTTGTTTAGTCAGTTCCAGTGTATAAATGTTTGGTATTTTTTCGCCTCCTTAATAGGAGTAATTTTGGCAGGGGGAAACAATCTCTAAGTATAGTGTAAATGTAATGCAGAAATTGAAAAGAAATCAAAGATAGGCTTTGAACTTTGTATTTAGACTCTTTACATAAGTAGTTTGATTTTCACAAAATTCGGAGAAACTGGTGAGACCCCTTAAATAGCCCATATCTAGTTCTGTCCCCTTGAGTATCATGTCAAATGAGCAATCACTGTCCTAAGAGTCTGTTAACCAATATACTAGCTAGCTATGCAACTTTTTTGCAATATTGTTGGTCTTGAAATTGTGAATATAGTATAATTCTGTGTGCAACTTTGTCTCCAGAATGGTTTTTGAAAGCATTGCTGTGGAGCCAGCTGACTTCAGGGATGTATTTGTTGCTTAAAGCTGTTACTGACATTGCAGATTTGCGTTCTTCTTGTTGTCTATGTGGTCAAAATAACTATAATTCTTGATGTTTTAATGACTCTTCCCCACATTTCATTTATCGCATTATTAGGGTGATGAAAATACACTTCTCGAGTTCAGTTGCGCTTTGTCAGTAGACAAATGTAAACATTTTTCAAAGTGGAGGCTTTCTTGCACTGGCATAGTGCTGCAATCTTAGGTTTAATGCAGTAGGCTTATGCTAAAACAAAACTGCTTTTAAGAGTATTTCCGTGCTCACAACAGTCTGAGTCATACCATCAACTTTGTCTTCCTCCTATCTCTGTCAGCCTCTCAGGTATGATAGAGAGCCTTTTAGCTATTGTATTATGAGTAATTGGCAGCTTTTAAGCAGTTCAATAGATGGAATAATTAGATAAACAAATTTAGTGCTTTTAAATCATTTTCAGAGTAAGAAGAAATGACAACAGATGGCTCTTTCCAAATGATTCAAATGAATGCTTTTGGACACTTCCAAACTTATTTCAAATAATCAAAGTGTGCTGAGAAAAACTGTGTGCAGTGTCCATGGTGCTGTAGTTACCACTGACTTTACTTTGAAAGAATGTTTTCTTTCTTGTTTCATTAAGATTTTTATTAACGTGTTATTTTTAATGAACAGTGTACCATACTCTGTTGGTATGAGACATAACCATGTTGTCTAGAACAGGCTGTGCTGAATACGTTTTATAACTGTCTCTTTTCTGTAGGTTTATCAGTGAGTGGAATCCCTATTTGCTTTGATTTAATAGCTCATATTGTAAGATTCCTGCTTTATCTTCCTCTTCTATGCCAAAACAACCCTGTGAAGTCTGAGCAAATTTTTTTTTCCTCTCAAGTGGTCAGATCTAATGGCTGACTTCTGCTGTCACAAGAATTCTGTTTCAAATGTTGCTAAGGATACTTAAACTGTGATTTGCATGG